TCGTTTCGGTGATCAAAATTGGCCTCCTAGATCGTGTGATTTAACACCATTAGACTTCTTTTTATGGGGTTATTTGAAATCACAAGTCTATGTCAACAAGCCCACAACCACCCGTGCATTAAAGGAGGAGATTCAACGCTGCATCAACGAAATTCAGCCACATTTATGCAGAAGGGTCATGGAAAATTTCGACAAAAGAGTGCGCATGTGCATGCAAAGCCGTGGAGGCCATTTGTCCGATGTGTTATTCCATACATAACCCTATCCTATGTACTTTATGAGTCAATAAAAATATAACTATTAAAAGACTAAAAATGGCATTTTCTATTTAATTCAAATCTTGCGTTAATTTTGGGACACCCTTTATATCCGAACACCCAGTTTAAATGGTTTTATTTTAATAAAATTTTGTATAAGTTCTTAATGAAGCATAATAAGTAAATGATAAAAATTTCAAAATGATTGCACTGCTTTAAAGCCCTTTTACCTTTAATAATGTGTGGATGCACCCTGATGTGCTACGGATTCTCCAACGCGCCTAGGCATGCTTCTGATCAGGTGGTCAATGTCCTCCTGTGGTATCTCATTCCAGGCAACCACCAACTCCTCTCGAAGTGCTTCTAGAGTCTGAGGAGGACGTTGCAAATTGAGCAATCTCCTACCTATCATATCCCACACGTGCTCAATTGGGGATAAGTCGCGAGATCTTGGTGGCCATGGTAACAATGTGACATCATTATGTTGAAAGAAGTCTATTGTGACTCTTGCAACATGTGGTCGGGCATTATCTTGTTGGAAAGTTGGATCTGCCAGGGTGTCAAGATAGGGTAAAAGATGGGGTTCTAGAACTTCGTGGATATAACGCTGCGCGTTCATGTTACCTCTGATGAAGATAAAAGGTGACCTGGAACCATAAGCTATAGCACCCCAAACCATAACTCCAACAGTGTGATGAACATGTCTTTCAACAAAAAACTGTGGATTCCTCCTTTCACCACGTCGCCTTCTAACCCTGGCACGACCATCGTGCATGCCTAAACAAAATCGAGACTCGTCACTAAAGACAATACTGTTCCATTCCTGATCCCAGAGTGACCGTTGTCTGCACCACTCGAGGCGATTACGTCGGTGTTCTCGAGTTAAAGGGAGGACCCAGTGTGGCCGGTATGAAAACAAGCTAAAACTTCTCATTCGTCGGTAAACACTTCACATGCCAATAGGTCTTCCGTGTTCTGCAAACCATTCATTTGCAATGGACCTGGTAGTGGAGAAACGGTCCCTTAAGGCCAATAATCTTGGGTCTGTTGTTCTACGGCGGCGTCCAGTGCCCCTTGCTCTTTGCGTACGGCCTTCTCGAAGCCATGCCTGACAACACCTAACCACAGTGTCTACACTTCTTTGCACTCTAACTGCAATTGCCCGAAAAGAAAGTCCAGCTTCCCGAAGTCCCACTATACGGCCCCTATCAAACTCACTAAGTTGACGAAATCGTACAGGTCTCCGTACTCTAGGCATCGTAACCGATCGTAAAGGATGTCAAGAACCAAAATCCGCCAACGTTGATTCTTTACTGCGGCTGAAATATTCATTTTTAGAGCGTTAGTGAATTAAAAAAAAGCAGTATAAAAACCGGAATGTCCAACTGATAAGGCTGAAAATTTTTTCACTTGTTATTTACAGTAAGATAAATACATTCACCAACTTTTATTAAAATAAAACCATTTAAACTGGGTGATCGGATTTATATGTCACTTAGTATATATGAGACTAGTATGAAAGAGTATAATGGGTAAATGTTATCTAAGCTGTACCAAATTACTAGACACGTTTAAACAAGGTCAAACTGAAAGATAAATTCGTACAGCATATTTAAACGAAGCACCCGAATCGTGGTCTGTATGCTAACGAAAGTACGATCCCCATCCCAAAACTTTTCCGTCATAAATTAATGAAGAACTTTTAATTAGCCTTATACAAATAAGCAAGCCTCCTTATCAAGTAACTGTTAATGAAATAACTTAGGAAATTCTAGGGATTCCTCAGCGAAAATTAGTTTCGTGGGGTTTAGTAGGTTTGGACACATTTGACTTTCCTTGTTCATAAAATACACTGCTAGCACAGCTAGGATGATTTTAGTTGAATCCGTTCTCGAAACCTGGTCCCATTGGCGCTGCATTCGCTGAATCTCTATTATTGTCGGTGTAAATAGTAGCTTAGGTCTACCAGAATGGAGCAAACGCGCATATTTTGGGATAACGTCAATTTTGATTTCTACGGGGATGTATTTTCATCTATAGCCGTACAATACAGGGTGATCCAAAAATAAAATGTTGCGTTATACTTTGGATTTTTGATTTTTTTTAATTTTCAGATTCTCCATGACGCTTTTAGTAAATTTTGTATAATAAAGCTTATACCTACATTCTATTGTTGTGAAGCTACTTGAACTTATAATAAAATTCGACTGATACTGATAATAATGGACGTTGGGCCACCCTGTATGCATGCCTTAATAGAAGAAGAGGACACCCTGTATATATTTTTTTAAATCAGCAAAATTCTACGTTCATCTTCTTGATGAAATTGGTTCTGCACACAAACCGAATCCCTTGGATAAATCTCCAGTTTCAAATTCAAAAAGGACTATGGCAAAAACCAATTGAAGATGAAAAATTCTCTTAAAACTGCTGAAGCGACTATGAGGCCAGGGAGGCGGAGACGAGGTGTACCTCTACTGTATTTTTCTATTTGCATTATTGTTCCTTCCCTCTGAGTCCCTGCTCATCAGAGATTCTACGAGCAAACTTCAATTTTCGCTGAGCCTAAACATGGATGAGGCAATGTACAGCTTAGGGATGAAATTAATTTTTTTTCAGTAACCTGAGGTGAAGGTTAAGGGGTTCCTTAAAAAGAGCTCTCAAGCAATATTTTTTCACGTTATTTGAATTACGATTATCCGTATATGGAAAAAGCCTTGATATCACCCTAGATACATTTAAAATTCAAATTTAGAAAAATACCTCACGAGACCACTGCCAACATACGACTTCTTTAGCTATTATACGCAATATTACTAATGTGCCAAAAACGGAAAAGATTAAAAATCGCTTAAACTTCGACTTTTGACGTTTCTGAGGATCCTTATCATTTTGGAAAAAATCTAGTGGTAAAAAAACTTGGGTGTGGTGATGTGGGGGCGGGGCATGGTTATATACGTCTATTTAATACAACATATATTTTAAAGAAAATTGATTAGCCTTTACGTCTTCTATTACCACCATTAATTTCAAGCGTCAACCCCAAGCATCACACGGCGACCAAAAAAAAATGCCAATTCAAGCTATACGCTTTTATAAGTTCACACTATACAGGGTGACCCAATATTCCTTGTTGACATAGACGACCCACGTATTTTTTGACTCGACTGGATATGATCTACCTCTAACCGTTTGTCGGTTATGTGGTGCAATGTGTTCTTTTTTAAACACATTTTTTCAGATATTCTTGGAACCCACAGACCGATGTAAATGGAATTTGGGACATACTGTAGAATGCAGGGCTGACATTTTTCAAGATTTATATATACTAAGTGACATATAAATCCGAATACCCAGTTTAAATGGCTTTATTTTAATAAAAGTTGGTGAATGTATTTATCTTGCTGTAAATAACAAGTGAAAAAATTTTCAGCCGTATCAGTTGGACATTCCGGTTTTCATACTGCTTTTTTTAATTCACTAACGCTCTAAAAATGAATATTTCAGCCGCAGTAAAGAATCAACGTTGGCGGATTTTGGTTCTTGACGCCTAGAGTACGGAGACCCTGTACGATTTCGTCAACTTAGTGAGTTTGATAGGGGCCGTATAGTGGGACTTCGGGAAGCTGGACTTTCTTTTCGGGCGATTGCAGTTAGAGTGCAAAGAAGTGTAGACACTGTGGTTAGGTGTTGTCAGGCATGGCTTCGAGAAGGCCGTACGCAAAGAGCAAGGGGCACTGGACGCCGCCGTAGAACAACAGACCGTGAAGATCGCCGCCTAAGATTATTGGCCTTAAGGGACCGTTTCTCCACTACCAGGTCCATTGCAAATGAATGGTTTGCAGAACACGACAGACCTATTGGCATGCGAAGTGTTTACCGACGAATGAGAAGTTTTGGCTTGTTTTCATACTGGCCACACTGGGTCCTCCCTTTAACTCGAGAATACCGACGTAATCGCCTTGAGTGGTGCAGACAACGGTCACTCTGGGATCAGGAATGGAACAGTATTGTCTTTAGTGACGAGTCTCGATTTTGCTTAGGCATGCACGATGGTCGTGCCAGGGTTAGAAGGCGACGTGGTGAAAGGAGGAATCCACAGTTTTTTGTTGAAAGACATGTTCATCACACTGTTGGAGTTATGGTTTGGGGTGCTATAGCTTATGGTTCCAGGCACCTTTAATCTTCATCAGAGGTAACATGAACGCGCAGCGTTATATCCACGAAGTTCTAGAACCCCATCTTTTACCCTATCTTGACACCCTGGCAGATCCAACTTTCCAACAAGATAATGCCCGACCACATTGTTGCAAGAGTCACAATAGACTTCTTTCAACATAATGATGTCACATTGTTACCATGGCCACCAAGATCTCCCGACTTATCCCCAATTGAGCACGTGTGGGATATGCTGGGTAGGAGATTGCTCAATTTGCAACGTCCTCCTCAGACTTTAGAAGCACTTCGAGAGGAGTTGGTGGTTGCCTGGAATGAGATACCACAGGAGGACATTGACCACCTGATCAGAAGCATGCCTAGGCGCGTTGGAGAATGCGTAGCACATCAGGGTGCATCCACACATTATTAAAGGTCAAAGGGCTTTAAAGCAGTGCAATCATTTTGATGTTTTTATCATTTACTTATTATGCTTCATTAAGTACTTATACAAAATTTTATTAAAATAAAACCATTTAAACTAGGTGTTCGGATTTATATGTCACTTAGTATATTTATATATAAAAATCTAAGAGCATACCAATTTATTGAATACAGATAATTCTAACGTTACATCTACAGAATGCATATAATACTTCTATTTTTCTTCCTGCGACTGATCTAGCTCCCTGAGTGCGTACTCTCCGACACTGATCGTCCTCCCCAACGTTCTCAATAAGCTGGATAATTCGGTACGATGTCTTCCCCAAATGCTGCATTCCCCACCTAACATGGTCATGCTTTCTATCAAAACCTATGATAAATCTTGTAAATTAACTGTTATTTATTCTCATTATAAAGGAAATTATTTTAGGTATAATTAGACGATAATTTTCAAAAATTTTGAATGTTCCAAAAATCCGATATTTCTAAATTCTTACAAATTTTCTATTCCGAGACTTTTGATACTGATAATAGATTCACCAAAATCATCTGAATTTCTAATATACTAAGTGACATATAAATCCGAACACCCAGTTTAAATGGTTTTATTTTAATAAAAGTTGGTGAATGTATTTATCTTACTGTAAATAACAAGTGAAAAAATTTTCAGTCTTATCAGTTGGACATTCCGGTTTTTATACTGCTTTTTTTTTAATTCACTAACGCTCTAAAAATGAATATTTCAGCCGCAATAAAGAATCAACGTTGGCGGATTTTGGTTCTTGACATCCTTTACGATCGGTTACCATGCCTAGAGTACGGAGACCTGTACGATTTTGTCAACTTAGTGAGTTTGATAGGGGCCGTATAGTGGGACTTCGGGAAGCTGGACTTTCTTTTCGGGCAATTGCAGTTAGAGTGCAAAGAAGTGTGGATACTGTGGTTAGGTGTTGTCAGGCATGGCTTCGAGAAGGCCGTACGCAAAGAGCAAGGGGCACTGGACGCCACCGTAGGACAACAGACCGTGAAGATCGCCGCCTAAGATTATTGGCCTTAAGGAACCGTTTCTCCACTACCAGGTCCATTGCAAATGAATGGTTTGCAGAACACGGAAGACCTATTATCATGCGAAGTGTTTACCGACGAATGAGAAGTTTTGGCTTGTTTTCATACCGGCCACACTGGGTCCTCCCTTTAACTCGAGAACACCGCCGTAATCGCCTTGAGTGGTGCAGACAACGGTCACTCTGGGATCAGGAATTTAGTGACGAGTCTCGATTTTATTTAGGCATGCACGATGGTCGTGCCAGGGTTAGAAGGCGACGTGGTGAAAGGAGGAATCCACAGTTTTTTGTTGAAAGACATGTTCATCACACTGTTGGAGTTATGGTTTGGGGTGCTAGCTTATGGTTCCAGGTCACTTTTAATCTTCATCAGAGGTAAGATGAACGCGCAGCGTTATATCCACAAAGTTCTAGAACCCCATCTTTTACCCTATCTTGACACCCTGGCAGATCCAACTTTCCAACAAGATAATGCCCGACCACATGTTGCAAGAATCACAATAGACTTCTTTCAACATAATGATGTCACATTGTTACCATGGCCACCCAGATCTCCCGACTTATCCCCAATTGAGCACGTGTGAGATATGATGGGTAGGAGATTGCTCAATTTGCAACGTCCTCCTCAGACTCTAGAAGCACTTCGAGAGGAGTTGGTGGTTGCCTGGAATGAGATACCACAGGAGGACATTGACCACCTGATCAGAAGCATGCCTAGGCGCGTTGGAGAATGCGTAGCACATCAGGGTGCATCCACACATTATTAAAGGTCAAAGGGCTTTAAAGCAGTGCAATCATTTTGAAATTTTTATCATTTACTTATTATGCTTCATTAAGTACTTATACAAAATTTTATTAAAATAAAACCATTTAAACTGGGTGTTCGGATTTATATGTCACTTAGTATATTTTCCAGATATTTTTTAAAAATTTCCAAGATTCTTCAAATTGCAAAGTGTTCTAGTATACCAAAACGTAGAACGTTCAAAAAATTTTGAATTTCTTTATCTATCAAGATTGTCAATATTTTCAAAATTCCCAACATTTTCAACACGTTCAGAATCCTCAAAATTAAGATTCTTCACAATTTTAAATTTTTTTAAATCCAAACCTCACATTTTGAAATTTCTAATATATATTACTAATTCTGCTAATGCCTCGAAATTATCGAAATTTCTGAAATATCCAATCAAACTCTAAATTTTAAAATGCAGATGTATTACTCTTTTTGAAACGTTCAGAATTTTTTAAATTTTAAAAACTTGCAATTGAATTTTTAAGGTTTTTCGAATTTTTCAAATTTTCTGCATATCTCTGAATTCGGTAAAAATTACACAATTTTCAAAGTTTTCAAAACTTTTAATTTTTCATTTTCCAGAATTTTTAAAACGTCCGGAGATCTCAAACATTTTCTAAATCTTCCCCATATACTCTCATTATCAGGAAAATATATGAAAAGGAGGTATGATCATTCAATAATTTTCAAACATTTCGAATATTCCAGAAATCCAAAGTTTCTGAATTTTCACAGATTTTCGATTTTTAAAGGGCTTCTGGAATTTCCAAAATCTTTGAGATACTCAAATTGCAAAGTGTTCTAGTATACCAAAACGTAGAACGTTCAAAAAATTTGGAATTTCTGCATCTATCAAGATTGTCAATATTTTCAGAATTCCCAACATTTTCAACATGTTCAGAATCCTCAAAATTAAGATTCTTCACGATTTTAATTTTTTTTAAATCCAAACCTCACATTTTGTAAATGTCTAATACATATTACTAATTCTGCTAATGCCTCGAAATTATCGAAATTTCTCAAATATCCAATCACTCAAAATTTTAAAATGTATTCTAGATGTATTACTCTTTTTGAAACGTACCAGAATTTTTTAAATTTTAAAAACTTGCAATTGACTTTTTAAGGTTTTTCTAATTTTCTGCATATCCGAGTTTCTCTGAATTCGGTAAAAATTACACAATTTTCAAAGTTTTCAAAACTTTTAATTTTTCATTTTCCAGAATTTTTAAAACGTCCGGAGATCTCAAACATTTTCTAAATCTTCCCCATATACTCTCATTATCAGGAAAATATATGAAAAGGAGGTATGATCATTCAATAATTTTCAAACATTTCGAATATTCCAGAAATCCAAAGTTTCTGTATTTTCACAGATTTTCGATTTTTAAAGGGCTTCTGGAATTTCCAAAATCTTTGAGATACTCAAATTGCAAAGTGTTCTAGTATACCAAAACGTAGAACGTTCAAAAAATAAGGAATTTCTGCATCTATCAAGATTGTCAATATTTTCAGAATTCCCAACATTTTCAACATGTTCAGAATCCTCAAAATTAAGATTCTTCACGATTTTAATTTTTTTTAAATCCAAACCTCACATTTTGTAAATGTCTAATACATATTACTAATTCTGCTAATGCCTCGAAATTATCGAAATTTCTCAAATATCCAATCACTCAAAATTTTAAAATGTATTCTAGATGTATTACTCTTTTTGAAACGTACCAGAATTTTTTAAATTTTAAAAACTTGCAATTGACTTTTTAAGGTTTTTCTAATTTTCTGCATATCCGAGTTTCTCTGAATTCGGTAAAAATTACACAATTTTCAAAGTTTTCAAAACTTAATTTTTCATTTTCCAGAATTTTTAAAACGTCCGGAGATCTCAAACATTTTCTAAATCTTCCCCATATACTCTCATTATCAGGAAAATATATGAAAAGGAGGTATGATCATTCAATAATTTTCAAACATTTCGAATATTCCAGAAATCCAAAGTTTCTGTATTTTCACAGATTTTCGATTTTTAAAGGGCTTCTGGAATTTCCAAAATCTTTGAGATACTCAAATTGCAAAGTGTTCTAGTATACCAAAACGTAGAACGTTCAAAAAATAAGGAATTTCTGCATCTATCAAGATTGTCAATATTTTCAGAATTCCCAACATTTTCAACATGTTCAGAATGCTCAAAATTAAGATTCTTCACGATTTTAATTTTTTTTAAATCCAAACCTCACATTTTGTAAATGTCTAATACATATTACTAATTCTGCTAATGCCTCGAAATTATCGAAATTTCTCAAATATCCAATCACTCAAAATTTTAAAATGTATTCTAGATGTATTACTCTTTTTGAAACGTACCAGAATTTTTTAAATTTTAAAAACTTGCAATTGACTTTTTAAGGTTTTTCTAATTTTCTGCATATCCGAGTTTCTCTGAATTCGGTAAAAATTACACAATTTTCAACGTTTTCAAAACTTTTAATTTTTCATTTTCCAAAATTTTTAAAATGTCCGGAGATCTCAAAATTTTCTAAATCTTCCCCATATACTCTCATTATCAGGAAAATATATAAAAAGGAGGTATGATTATTCAATGAATTTCAAACATTTCGAATATTCCAAAAATCCAAAATTTCAGAATTTTCACAGATTTTCGATTTTTAAAGGGCTTTTGGAATTCCCAAAATCTTCTAAATTTCTAATATTGTCCAGAATTATTGAAGATCTTTGAGGTACTTCAAATTCCAAGGTGTACAGAACATTAAGAATAATCAGAACATTTTGAGTTCTTGTATTTGTCAATTGTCAACGTTTTCAAAATGTTCAACATATTCAAGATGTTCAGAATCCTCAAAACTTCTAATATTCTTGACGACTTCAAAATTTTCGAAATTTTAAGCTTATAACATTTTCTCAAATATCCTAATAAATTCCAAATTTTCTAATTTCTTCATTTTTTTCGAAGCATTCAGAATTTTTAAAATTTATAAGGACTTGTATTACTTAAAATTTGGAATTTTCACTGTTTCCCTAATTTTTTAAATCTTCTTTATTTCCGAGATTCTCTGAAATCAGCAAATTTTCAATATTGTAAGTTTTCAAATTATTTTTTGAAAATTTTCAAAATTGTCCGAAGATTTCAAAATATTCAAATTTTCTGAATCTTTGCTACTTTCGGCATTTCCGAAATTCTCCAGATTCTCAAAATGTATACCTTGGTCCTTTCAGCCAGCGCACAAGGAAGCTCTTCATCCAAAACGGCTCGGCACTGTTGGAAATTCTCTAAAACTTCGTCAAACTGCTTCTTCAACTTTACCAGGGACGCTTCGCTTACGTTGATTACTTCCAAAATTATCTTGAAATTCTTTAGGGCCAAACTATAATTGTTTTTTCTCTTTTCGTATTCCTTCCGTAGCTGCCTACATCGATGGGGTTAGAAACCAAAAACGATTCAAAATAAAATCGTTGAATTGTGAGGTAGCGTTTTCATAATTATTAGGGTGTCAAATGATATAGATGTAGGGTATCATCGGCGCAGGTCATTATTTTATATTGTTGAACAACCTTGGTTAAATTTTGAGGTATATAATGTGAATAGCAGTGGCCCTGAAACAGAACCTTGTGGGACCCCAGATTTTATAAGCTCAACTGATGAAATTTTGTCGTATAGTGAAGATTTTTGACTTCAACCAATTAAATGGTGTCGAAAAAATGCACAGCCTTTAGTCCTAAATAATTCAATTTTGATAGTGGTTCATAGTTAGGTGTATCGAGAGCTGGTCGATTTTCATTCAAGACGCTGTTTGGTCATCAGTTCTCTTGCTCTGGCTGAGTGTAAAACGAGTATTAGGCATGACGCCCTGCAATAAACAAAGTTCTTTGGGCTTACCTAACTTTCTCGTGTCCATTCAAGGTCACGAAAACCTTCGCGCGGATCTCTTCCAGCAGCTCAAGCCCAGGGCTGCGGCACAAGTTGCTCAATGCAGCCGAGACGGCTTCGTTAGCGTAGTTCTCTCTAACCGCGAAGCTGTTCAGCACCAGCGCCAATCTGTTAGCTGACCGCACCTCGAGCATCAAGCACTCCGAGTGCTGCAAAACATGCTCCAAGACGACCTCCAGCAGATCGTACGTGTCACAACGAGCCTTGTGCTGATTCGAGAAGGTCGATTCCTCGATCTGAACGTTGGCCAGACGGATCTTCGTTTCGTCGTACGCGTCTTCGCTGTACAGCTCCAAGGCCTTCGTCAGGTCCAGCTTCTGGAAGCGGAGCGAAGCTTGAACCTACTTCAGGATTCACCGTGGCTCGCAACTGATGCGACTCATTTTTAGGACAAAATGAAAGAACGGGCTACCAAATGACTTGAGCGAGTTCAAATTTGTACTGAAGGCGGATCACATGTTCCCCTATCTCCCGTCCAAGCCCGGCACCTCCAGCGTTGCCAGATCGAACGCTACGTTGCCAGTCTAATCACTTAGGCTACATACCTCGGATGAAATTGTTGGTGGCACATCTCTTTGTTTTGGTTATGAAAAAATTTTTTTTTGGTAGACAACACTTATAGGTACAGAATCACCCTGCAGTCACATGCCATATCATAGATATGTACAGATATGGGGCATATTATTTAGCGGGTCTACCAGCTGACCTTGCATTATTTAGTGAATAGCTAAGGATTCTCCAACCTGTATCTCAAAAACGGTTATTTGTATGAAAAAACGTTTGAAACTAAAGCTGTGCAGAATTTTGGTCTCTACAATATTCCTCATAGGTCGCGATATCTTTGCAAAAAGCATATTTGCGACCTTTGATATCTGAAGACGCGGGCACGAGACTTTATAAGGCTTTAGCGACAACTTTTAGAATGGCAAAATGACAAAATATAATAATAATAATAATAATAATAATGTTTATTGTCACAAAGTACAGGTAAATATCAAATAAACATAAAGCTCCCAAAAAAAGTTTGCACTTGTGTTTGGGTTTGTTAAAAATAAAAACTAATAGTACAGTCAGTGTATGATAAGGAAAACAAAAAAAAACGTTAATACTGTACAGACAATTATAACTAAAGTAAAAGTATGGATGTTAGTGTAAGTAAAATATTATTGATTTTGATTATAATTTTTTAGATCTACAATTTCGTGGATGGAGTACCTTGGTTGTTGTAAAATCCATTTTTTTAGTTATTTTTTAAATGATTTATTTGATTTAATTACGTTTAATGACTCTGGGATGAAGTTATAGAATTTTGGTCCCAATAAAAACAGAGATCGTTGTGTAATGGTTTTTGATGTTTGTGGAATACACATTGAATTTTGATTGAATCTTGTTGGTTAGTTATGAATGGTACGATTCAAGTATTTCGAACATTTGAAATAATGTATTAGACCACAATAAAAATCAATTTGTCTGCAATCTGATAGCTGAGCCTCCACATACACCTTAGGAAAATCCATTGTTATACATGGGAAATCATTTCTTGGCAACAGCGCATCGGCTCGTCTACTTTCATCGCTATTCGTACATATTTCCTACCGTTAACGCGCGTGCCGTCGTTTAGTGCGATAAGGGATTCATGACTCACTCTGCGGTTGGGTTTTGTGTAGGAAAGGTGCGTGTTTATTTAATCCAAAATATATTAAAAATGTACTCGCAAGAATAAAAGTTTCAAATGATAGAATGGTACATCCAGAATAATTCAGCACGCGCGGTTGTTGAATTATTTGCGGTACGCTTCCCAGATCGGCCAATTCCGTCTCACGCAACGGTTATAAATACCTACGAAAAATTCAAGAGGGTGGGCTGCTTACATAAGTGCCATAGCTGCATGCACCCTGAAGGTTGGAAACCAAAAATTAGCGAGAAAAGGGAGGAGATCGAAACTGCTGTTTGTGCCGCTGCAGAAGTATCTGAGCCATGCTCAAGCAGAAAAATTGCTGAAATGGCACCAATAGCCGATCTCACACCCCGAACAACAAGAAATATTTTGCATCGCAACGGCTATCATAGCTTCAAGGTTGGAACGGTTCAAGAAATATTTCCTTTAGACAAATACCGTCGAATGGAGTTTTGTGAAACGGTCATGGAGAAGGCGAACAGGGATGGAAGTTTTATTGGTAACATTTTGTTTACTGATGAATCCACATTCCCTCTCCACGGTCATCACAATCCTTCAGTCGTTCGGTATTGGTCTCGGGAAAATAAACACCTCAGTATTCCCGTCCGCACGCAGTATCCACAGAAACTGAATGTATGGGCAGGAACTCTAGGTAATAACATTATCGGACCGTTCTTTATTGATGGAACTCTTACGGCCAGACGCAGAAATATGACATATTGGTATCGGCAACTCAGCGAATGGGAGAAACAAATCGCATTTGTTGACCGCATCCGTCTAAGCGGCAGGCGCCAGCGCCCGTTCCATCTCTCTTTTATCACTCTTCTACTTTACCCCATTGTCCGTCACACTCCGACGCTGCCAGATAGGATCCTACAATCGAGTGTCTTTCACGCACCTACATACTTTTGTATATTTCCATCTCTCTTCCTCATCATAATGTATAATAATGGTTTTTCCGAAGGTGTATAGAAAACCACTTGAATAAGTAATCTCCCTATGGAGGATCAATTTTAGAATTAATTTTTGGATTACATCAACCTTTTTGTAATTATTATTCATAACTCCCCCCCAAGCCAAAATTCCGTAAAGTAATAGAGGATAAACAAGAGCATAATAAAGATTATATAGATATTTCTTATCTAGAATATCTCTGAAGTACCTGAATTTTGGAATAATACATCTCAGTCTTTTCACAAGGTACTCTGTATGGGTATCCCATTTTAAGTGTTTGTCCTAAATCACACCTAAGTATTTTATTTTATCGGTTGACTGAATCTCTTTGAGACCACTGCTTGTATGAATTTCAAGTTTTTTAATTTGTGGTGAGAGCCTGTCGTTATAAGAAAATGCTATATAGTGTGTTTTGTTGTAATTAATAGTTCTTTCCGAAAAGAAATTTATAAATGTTTTGAAATCATGTTCGCTTGTGGTTTTTAGTGTATGCCACTGGTTGCTTTCATAGAGAATATCTGCATCATCCGCAAAACCGATAACTTTACCTGTACTGCTTATTTTGAACAAATCGTTAATAAATAGATTAAATAAAATGAGTCCTAATACTGAACCTTGAGGTACACCGTATGATATAATATGGGGTTCACTGAATGTGTTATTAATTTTGACGCAGTGTGTTCGATTTGACAAATAATTTTCTATAATTTTGTATGTTATTTCCCGGAAACCTAAGTTTTCTAAAGTTGTTAAAAGCGATTCATGAGTAATAGAGTCGAATGCCTTTGCCAAGTCAACAAAAACACATGCAATTGGTTTGCCAATATCGAGATTCGTGTATATTTTACTTGTTAGTTTTACAACATCATCTTGAGCAGATTTGCCTTCTTGAAAACCATATTGCTGTTCCCCTATTAAGTTATATTTTTTTGCAAATTCGGTGAATCGGTTTTTTAACACTTTTTCAAATATTTTAGAAAAATTAGTTAAGATCGAAATTGTCGATAGTTGATGGGTTTTTCTCTTTCTCCAGATTTAAATAATGGTTTTACCATGGCATGTTTTAAACATGTAGGAAATATTCCTTTATTCATACAAGAATTTATCAAATATGCCGCAGATGTTGGAATTTATTCTCTTGAGAGTATATGCTGTTATATCATCTAGACCTGGAGATTTTCTTATTTTCAATTCATCGATTATTGTCTTTATTTCATGCGTTTCATATTCCGAGGTTGACCCTCCTTAGTGACTTGTATAATTGGTCTACTGCAATATCAGAACAGTACATAGAATACGAGTTTAGAAAAAAAATACCTTGTACTCTTTTTCTTCTGTAGGATCATCAATTTCTTCGATATGCTTCACCACTTGCTGCTTCAATAATAAATTTAGACTATTGGTTTGCGCGAAAGTTATTTCTGAGGTCAGCATTTTATAAAAAACTATATTTGTCACTTTTGACCATTTGACACTATATTAAAATCTCTTGTCATATCGCTTTGAAGCCTCGTGACACGAATCGCGTGTGACCACATACAGGGTCTTCATCAAGTATGCACTAGAGGCGATTCTTGGAGTAATCTTAAGACAAAAAGTTCATATAAGCATAGATCCGCAAATTCTTCGTTCTCAAGATACAGTGTGTTAAGATTTAAAAAAATGGTTTGTCGTAATTTTTTTAAATATCCTCTAATACATAATTATTAATAAAAAATCATAAAAAAATAACTTTCGAAAGAAACTTTTCCCCATATTCCTTATGTAGTCCAGTGTTGTGCAATCAAGTGGACTTTTTTTACTAAGCAAGATAGAAAAAAATTTAGGGGACAAAAAAGTATTTCTGTTACCTTAATCCAAAATTGCACAAAATTCAATGCCGTACATTTTTTTGTCACAAATATAAATCAAATTAGTTAAATTATATTTAAGATATTTACGATTTTTTATCTTAAGAACGAAGAATTTACGGACTATGTTCTGAACTCGTTGTCTTAAAATTTCTCCAAGAATCGTCTGTCAAGTTTAAGGTACATACTCAATAATTAACACCCTGTATACCATGCGAACGTTGCAGTTGCAACTAGAAAATAAAACATGATTCTTAGAGAAGTTTTAACAGTTAGTTAAATCTTAACACCCCTGTTTAACCTAGTTTGTATCCAGGCGAAAGGTTAAACCAAGTACCACAATGTGATCCTGAGCGACGAAATGAAATTTACTTAACAAAATGAAAGCAAAGTGTAACTTTCATCCGTAAGGTATACATAAACACAAGGGACGTTCTTAGAGGGTCACTGTCTCCGAGAAACCATTTTAAAAGCATTTTAAGATCCCTTCTATCCCTAGGAACCCCTTCAAGTGAGGAAATATAAATAGAGCTCTATCGCTGGCCCGAATTGCTTGGCTGAAATAAAACCGTGAGAAGGAATTAATTTAAAGGCCCACTTTGTTTACTTGTTATGGCGCTTTAATGAGGTTTAGCTGGAAGACCTGTATGGAAAGTATATACAGGGTGATCTGTAAGTTGTATGTATATCCCTACTGACCGTGGCAAATACTTGTTCCGGAAGTTGCTGTCTTCAATATATAACTTTTTACCATTCAAGTGGTTGTGCACGAGTTAAGAAATACCTCAGTGCTGATTGCCGGGTGGCGGTACGAGTTCGCCAACGGATCACTTCAGGTCTATTAACATGCAAAAACAAGGTGGTAGGTAAGGACCAGTCGACCGAGCCGGTACCACCCACTAGCTTCTCCAAGCGTGTCTTATAAACGTTCGCATCCTTCCACGCCTAAGCTAGGCAGTCATTTATCTGCCCTAACAAAGAAACTAATGCTAATGGATCCCTCGAGTACTAAGAATTCTGGACGTAAGCTCACTCCACTCGCGGAATGTCCGAGTGGAGGGTGGACTCGAGGAAACAACATCGACGATAAAATTTGTTTCACGAACATCTGCGAGATTAACATCACCATTCTTCCTACGAGTCCCTTCCCACTTCAGTTGGCCCACTTCAAGATTTGTAGCAAAATATGCCTGTATAAACTAAACATGACGAAACTATTTACTTCTAAAACAATTTATTTTCTCAAAAACATTTTAGATACACTCTAGTCTAGTCTAGTCTAGTGCAAATTTGATTAGGGAGTGATAATGTTGGTGTTTTCTATTATATATTATCAAAATATTCATTGTTAATATTTTAAACCTATAACACGCTGCTACATTTTTATTATTTGTGTTTGATAAGAAAAAAACTAAGATTTCAATAGTTGGGCCAACTGAAATGGGAAGGGGCTCGTACAGGTTGGCATTGATATATTTTAGTCACCGGCGCGGCGTTGAGAAAGAGCATTCCACCTCTCTGTACTTTGAGTTATCAGATCTGATCTAACATAACATTGACAGAGACAAAATATTGGAGATACACCAAAATTCTTGATGGATAAACAAAAGATTCAGCTAAAACTTTAACTCCTCTACTTCCATTGTGGATCTGAAGCTCCTTAGGAAACGTCTTTCGTTTGGTGTTATAAATAGTAATATAACTTCATCTCATTTTAGTACCACGAGATTCTGTTGAGGAAGCCCTTAAAAATCTCTTATATTATGCTTAACTAGGTATCTGCTTTTAGCTAAGAACCTGCTCGAATCACAACTGTTTAGAAAAAGCGAGCAGAATACCAGTACTTTCCAGTACCAGGTATACCATTGCTCCATCTGCCTTATTTAATTTATCTCGGGTTATTATCATTAACTGAGCGATTCTCGTCACAACAAATATAATATTTAAGACCTGCCGTACGTGAGTAAATCCAGTTTGACGGGCATTTTGAACGTAGGTACTGTTTGTTAGCTAATCCATTGCAGGGAACAATTTAGTTGTTTTTAAGCTCAGTCGTACCATGTATTTACATACAATTCTATAACTTTCTAATGCCCTGATTCTTATTCGTTCAACTGTAATAAGAAGAACTATACTTCTACAATGTCGTATACTTTATCTGAAGTCACTTGAAACACTGTGAAATACCGGATGCGTTTTATATATCTATATTTAACACGCTCTGTTGCTGCAAAAATCGCCAAATTTCGCAGCAAATATATATAAGAGATCAAAGGCAGTTTCACCGGTCCACGTGGAGTAAAGCACGCCTATGAGTGGACATAGCCAATGAGAAAGCGTGTATTTCAGAGCTCCAAACAAGTGCAGGTGGCTACTGAAAATTGAAACAGTTTAGCCAGTGCCGTGTAGCGGTGAATAAACGTGTTTTCTTTAGTCTGTCTGTGTTTTTTCATAGATTTTATTAGTTTGTGTGTTTTTGACTTTTGAATACTCAGTTTACTTGTTGATTTAATTGTTGTGTTGATTGTTCTTGTGTGTCCTAAATATGGCTCTTTGGAGACCTTGGGAAAATGCTCCAAGCCACGAGGAGATGGTTGATGAACCTGTGCAGGCAGAATTCTTTCATAAAGATTTAGAGGAACAGACCCAAAGAGTAATCCTAAATATGTATGATTGTCTGAAAAACGAAAGTCCAGATTCCTCGCAAAATCAAATTTTGAACAGAATTTGTATCCTGACAAAAATCAGTCGGTCTACCATTTATCGGGTTATAAAAAGGGGAGATGTAGTCAACCATTCCTTCCACAGAAAGCGCATAGGGCAAAAATTAAAAAGAATAGACGTGGGATTTCAGGAAGATATTCGTCGTATAATATACGGATTTTATAAAGAAAATTTGGTGCCCACGTTGGAAATGATACGGGATAAATTAAAAGATTATCCTGAAGATTTTTATAATTACAAATGCTTAGACTCACTGCACTGTATTGTAAAACTGTGTGGTTTTCAATACAAAAAATTAGATAAAAGAATGGTGATTATGGAGTCGTCTCGAATCGTTGAATTGCGCTGAGAATTTTTGCACAAAGTTAAAATCTATAGAGAGCAGAAAAGAAATCTGATTTACCTGGATGAAACGTGGTATGATACCCATGATGTTGTGCAGTAAGGCTGGGTTGACGACAGAAACAAGTGCATTTTAAATGCACCATGCAACCGTGGAAAACGAATCATTATTCTCCATGCTGGCAGTGAAAATGGATTTATACCTAATGCCTTGCTGTTATCTGCCAAAAATATCAAAGAATCATGTGCCAACTATCATGAGGACATGATCTCCGACTTATTTGAAAAGTGGATAGAGCAGCAGTTAATACCAAACATTTCCCCAAATTCAGTGATTATTATGGACAATGCGCCATACCATTCCCGACAGAAAAACAAAATTCCGAATACAGGCACAAAAAAACAAGACATTATTGATTTTATGAAGGATAAGGGAATGGAAATACCACAAAAATCAACCAAAGCCATATTATTGGATCTTATTAAACGACAAAAATTTGAAAAAGAGTATGTTGTTGACAATCTGCTTCAGCAAAATGGCCATGAAGTATTACGTCTACCTCCCTATTACTGCATTTTTAACCCGATTGAGTTGGTCTGGGCTGCTTTAAAAAAAAAGTAAGAAAACATAATCAGACCCCACAATTAAGTGAATCGCTATTGGCCACAATAAGAAATGCAGTATCTCATATTGCTGCCACAGACCTATGGAAGCAGTGTTCTAGGCATATTATTGAAAAAGAAAATGAATATTGTATTTTGCCTCCTGTAAATCCCGTTGTAATTCCTCTACAAGATGACTCTAGCGACAGCTCCGAAGGCGAGGATGATATATAAATACCTATAATGTAAGTCTTTATATACCTTTTTATATACCTACCTGCTATGTAAATATTTGCCTATGTCAAACGTTGGAATTCTGTAATTTTTCCATTTCTTAACTTTCAGTCAACATAAATTAAACTCCCAATATAAGTATTTTTTATCCCAAATCAAAAAAATAAGAAGATAGTAAAATCCATTTATTGTGATATAAAAACATTATTATTATCGTTCTAAATAAATGACCGCACGCCTATGATACGTCATGAAATTACGAAGGACGCGCCGACCAAAGGTTTTTATGCTATTTCAAGTGACTTCAGATAAAGTATAGCTATAACTGACCAAAACCGAACTGAACTTGATAATTGTTCCAGAGAATCACATGGTCCGGAAATCGCATCAACAACTTCGACAACTGTGGGACCCGAATTTCGAGGACGCAATGAGGGTAGAAGCAGTGACAGGCACTGAGAACAACACTGTTACCAACATGACGGTGCAACTCGGTGCTACAGCGTACATGCACTGTCACGTGAGGAGCTCCGAGAGAGAACTTGGAGGATCAGGGGTGAGTGTGAAAGTTTGTTTAGCTATCCTATCCCACAGGCATCCCGACGCGTGTAAGAAAATGTTCGTAAAGTAAACTGTTGAGTAACGGGATTATAAGGTTTGAAAAGATTAATTTAATGGTGGCTGTACGTGACCTTGACTATGTTCTTCAAGGTCATTTGGACCTCAAGTCAATTTTCTCAAATGAAACTCCTACTTATGACACCGCATAT